CCGTAGAGCAATGCCGCCCACCGCACCCCCGGCTGAGGGTACTCTCCTCCGGGAAGGAGGGGCCGCACGCGCTGGGGCGGAGGAAGCAGCTCTCACCGTCTGCGACGTTAGCTCCGAGGTGGGGCGGGCGTGGGAGGGCGCCGGAGGCGACATGCACGAGACGTTCGGCTCATAAGTGACAGAAGTGTCGGAAGTGGATCCGTATTTTGTGCTTGGGACGTACGGGGTCGGGCGGTGGGCGAATGCCGGCTCCTACCTCCTCCACCGGCCGCAGCAATACGATGAATATCCACTTCATTATGTTCTCTGCTGCGTTGCGGGAGAGCTGCCGTGCGTGTTCGACAAGGAAGAGAAAGCGGCGGCAGAGCACGAGAGTGCGCTCAGCATCAGAAGTCGTGTGAAGGAAGTGTCGTGGGGAGCAAGAGGGCATATTATCTACGACGCGGCCGAGGAAGGAGCACCGCCGCCGTGGGTATAATCACGGCCTTATGGGCGGGGCGTGCTTGCGCCGGCATCTCTGGACGGAAATGTCTTAAAGGCGTGCTGGATGAAAGTGCGTGCCTGTCGCATCATCGTGAACTGCCCTGGCGGGGACGAGGTGAAGGCGATGTGTGCCTGGGGGCGCGTGGCCGCCCCGCGCAGGGGCAAAAGAAGAACTGGGAGACGGTCAAGCAGCGCATGCGGCTTGTCGGGCCGAGTCCGCGTTACGCCTTCACTGAGGCTGACTTCAATGAGCACACTGCGGCGGTTGAGAGCGCCCTGCAGGCGATTACCGCCCCAGTTACCAAAGACCACCTTACTCGGGCCGATGAGAAGGTGTGGAGTGCGGAGAATCCTCTTCAGTGGCTTGTGAAAATTGGGAGGGGCCATGACAAAAGCAATTTCAGGGGAAATCTGCTTCGCATATATGTGTGTGTCCGGCTACCTTGAGTTTGAACTATTGGAGCGTTTGGGAGAGGTGTTCAGGCACGACGAGCTTCTCTCGCTATTGGTGCGTGCTTCTCGCCCTGCGTGTTGATCCTGAAAACGCGTGCCCCGCACTGATGCGATGGCGGAGGAGGGGCTGTTGCGGGCGCGGCAGAAAAGAGGGACTCGCGGGGCCGCGGCCGCCAACAGGCCGGCAGGCAAGGCGCCGCAGGAGACTTCTGGCTGAGAGGGTGGACGTAACGTATGGGGAGTTGCACGGGAGCGGCGGCCGAAAACGCTCCGCCGTTGGGCGCCTCCTTTTTTTTTCTTTTATTTTTTAGTAATTCCTCTCGGAGGCCGATATTTGGGCTGCGGTTTGCAGCGACGGATGCGCATCGCATTACCGTCTGCGCAGCGAAGCAGCAGCCCGGTGGGTAGATGAGTAGGTATATTTTAAGCGCTTGGGAAACTGTTGCCGATGCGGTTTCGTGGGGAATATGATTTACGTGCAGCGTGCAGGGAGCACGCCAATGCACGTGCGGCAGAGAAGTGATGTTGCCGAGCCCCTGGATGATGCGCAGAGCAACGAGGAGGATAAGGCAGAGGGATATTATTTTTTTTCTTGCTGGCCGTGAGGCGCAACATTGCAAAGTGCCGATGCCGTGCGAAGAAGTGCGCGCCGTGCGTGCTGAGTGAAGCGGATCCGTGTTTCCCCTTCGGCCCCTCCGTGGCGCCTCACTTCCGCGGGCCCCGCGGTGCGACCGGGGAGCGGGCGACTGCGCTTGAGGATGGCGGCGGCGGTGTCACTGCGGGCTTCGTGTGTTGTTGCGGCCGCACAGTGGGGGCAGCTGCTGCGCGTGTCGCTGTGACGCTGCTGCCTGCATTTTGCTGCCAGGTATCGCTTGGGGCAGATGGTGGTGGTGGGCGCACCACCGCTTTTTGTTTTGATTTTTTCTTTTCTTTTTACGCCACGCCACACTCCTGCTGCACTGCGCTGAGGGAAGTGGGGCCGACGTTGGGCGATTTGTGAGAGGCCCGCGACAGGAATTTCGGCGGGCACGCGCGCTGCGTGTAGCCGCCGCCGGGGATTTAAAAAAAAGGGCGCGGGAAGGCGGCGCGTGGCTTGTGTTTGTGGGCTTTTTTTTACTTCTGCGGGGCGGCGCCCCCAAACTGCGGGCTCTCCGCGTGCCTGTGTGTGACTGTTTATTGGGGAGACGAGTGTGCGTTCGCTGCGGCTCACGCGTTCGTCGCTGCGGCCTTCACTGCGGGCTGTCGCCGCTGTTTGCGTGCAGCCCCGCTGGGGGGCGCT